GGGGGGGGGGGGGCAGGAGACATCCAGAGGCACCAGCCCCTTGAGGAATGATGGCGAGACTGAGACTCTTGTAGGGGCAAGGGCATCCCCAGCTCTTTGTTTTGGGGTCGGAGCCGGGCTTGGAGCCTGAGTCTCACACTGAGCAGGGACAGGCAGAGGGAGAGGTACGAGGTACAGGGGCAGATAAACACCCAGACAGCAGAAACCAGCGGATACAGAGCTGGAGAAACAGAGGGGGCGAGGCTCTCAGGCCAGCCCCACCCCCTCCTCATCCGGCAGGCAGCATGGTCTGATCGGCAGAAAGGACATCTGTCCCCATGGAAACAGCAGAAGTGGGGGAGGGGAGCCAGGCCCAGCTGGTGTCACTTCAAGGTGACAGGAGGACAGGAGATGGGGGGGGGGGCTGGCAAACACCAGGGAGCCTCTGACTTCCCCACTCCTCCCCCCATCTCCAGGCCTGCCTGGGGGGAGATACCAGCTGGGGAGGGGGTCTTCCAGCAGGACACGGCTTGGAGGCTGGGGGTATCGCCTTCCTGCTCCTTGGATGTGTCCCTACCCATATAAAGGGGGGCTGGTAAGTTGACACAGAGCTCCCTCAACACAGTGGGCCTCTCCAGCCATCCCTGGGGGCTCTGGGGTCTCCCAGATGACCCATCAAATCCCCACAAACTCTAGCTTTGCTTTCTTCATGAGCTTTTATTGAGCATTCTGGGGTCGAAAGGGAGATCTATTGCCATAGAAATGAGGAGGGGATCTCTGTTGGACTCCTGGTCTCCCCTTGGAAGGAGTTACATCCTTTTTTTTTTGGTGGCTGGTGGGTACAGGGATGGAACCCTGGACCTTGGTGCTAACCAAGTGAGCTAACCGGCCAGTTCTACGCAGTTACATCTTTTTGTAGCCTCTGGTGGGATCCCCTTTGTGTCTCCTGGAGTCTCCAACTCCTCTCCCACTACAGGGAACCCTCTGGCCTTGGCTGCCCAGAGGGGCCTGGGCCAGGAGAGACCGTAATGGTAGAGGTGGTTTGGCTGGGCCTCTGGCTGGGGCAAGGTTTGGGGGGCCAGACGCCGTGGGGGGTGGCAGGCTGGGGAAAAGAGAGAGAGTACACGCTCTGGCCTCTCTGGTTCTCCCTGGGTGTGTCCAGCACCTTTCTCTCTCCAGGCCAGGCCTCACTCTTCTTTGGGGCCCCTCGGGGCCGGTATAGGACGTTGCTGTAGAATGGATTTCCTAGATGGGGGTGACACAGACCAAGAGGGGACAGTCACTTAAGAGAGTCTGGCCCTCCGCGGCTCACCTCTGGGGCTTTGCCTCTATTTCTGAAGAACATGGGTGCAGGGCCTGGCCTTCTCCATCCCCCTACTCCCCTCCGCTCCCCGCCAGCATCCCGGCCGGAGCCCTCCTGATTGCCGGACGAGGGACGGGCCACCCCTGTCCCCAGCTGCACTTCCCGCCTCGGCCACGCGGGGGCGGTCTGCGGCGCCCACGGGCCCCCCGGCGCGGTTGTCTGGGTTACCTGAGTCCTTTTCCCCGCAGCGGCGGCGACCCCAGATGACCGCGCCCAGCGCGACCGCTGCCACCGCCACGAACCCCGCCGCCAGCACCACTAGGAGGGGGCCTGGGGGGGGGGGGG